AAAAAGTAAATGAATAGAAGAGAAATTGTTGACAAATTCTAAGATAACAATGTTGTAATACAGGGATGGGCAAACTTTTTGTTGTGAAGGCTGCATTAAGAACTATTTGACCTTTGAAGGGCCGCATATGTACTTGAATAGCAAATTTTTTCGACCCGGGGGAGAATTTTTTTAAGATTTGTGTCTTCTTTTTTTGGTTATAATGTCTGGTGAGCAAGACATTATGCGGGTCGCATAAAGTAGCTGATGTAATACATACTATAACTATTTTCACTATAAAGACCCATAAAACATTTCAAATAACTTCAGTGTCTTTATGACAAAAATTACATCATCTCAGCCTTGATCGTCAGTAAGCTTGGTTGGCACGAGTTGCTACTTGCCTCTTTTCAAGGAGTTCAACCTGTCATACTATAATAAATTCAAATTATAAATATTATCTTATTGTGAAAAAAAGTTATAACAATAATATTAATAATAATAATATTATTAATAATGGTAGTAGTAGTAGCAGTAGTAGCAGCAGTAGCAGTAGCAGTAGAAAGATAAAATTTGTTAACGAAATTAAAAACCATCGATAAACCCGATAAACCAGCATTACGTAAAGCAATTAAACATTTGCTTTGTTGTAATAAATGTTAACTTATGTTTTTACGATGACGACGACGATGACGATTATGACGATGATGATGATAACAAAAACACTTTTATTAAACATGACATTGCTTCTTCTAATAAAAATTTAATCCGTTTATTAGAGAAATAATGTCACGTACTACAGCTACTAGTGCTACCATTGCTGCTGCTGCTACTACTACTGCAGCTACCGCAGCAGCTACTAATACTGCAGCTGCTGCTGCAGCTACTACTGCTGCTGCAGCCACATCTTCATCATCATCCCAACTTTTCTTTTTCCGACGCTCTTAGCAAGAAAACAGATTGAACAAAATCAATCGAAGCGCATTGACACATAGTAGTAGTAGTAGTAGTAGTAGTAGTAGTAGTAGTAGTAGTAGTAGTAGTAGTAGTAGTAGTAGTAGTAGTAGCAGTAGTAGTAGTGGTAATGATAATAATAATAACGATATTGATGATGATGATAATATTAACAGCAAATTTATTTCTATATTAATTTGCCATTGAAACTACAATTATACATTTTTCACATTGCCATCTTACTCGACAACAAACATCCAAAAAAACATCAACAGCATCAATAACGACATCAATAACAATTGCAGAAATGTCAACAACAACATCAACACGCAGCCACGAAATTACAACAACATTACAACGACAACATCAGCAAAGACATCATCGAATAAACCATCGGCTTTCAAATGCACGAGGTGTCAATAATTACATACAAGCATGCGACAATTTTGTTGATGCTGTTGTTGTTGTTGTTATTGCTATAGGTTTAACCCAATTAAATGAGTGTTCATTGGATGACCTATAATGATAATAAGTGTAGGTTCGACCTAATTAAATGAGCATTCATTGGCTGACTCATAAATCTAAACCCTGGCACGCCCCCTGTGACGTTTTTGCAGATGACGTCACGAATTATTGCTGTTGTTATTTCTAGTAGTAGTAGTAGTAGTAGTAGTAGTAGTAGTAGTAGTAGTAGTAGTAGTAGTAGTAGTAGTAATAGAAGTATTAGTAGTAGTTGTTGTTGTAGTTGTAGTAGTTGTGGTAGTCGTCGTCGTATTGTATAAGTAGAAGTAAAATTTGTCTTTTGTTGAAATATTTGGCGTAATTTTGGTTGCAGGGTAACGTAATAATAAAAAAATAAATAAAAAGAATACATCATTTCACATACATCAACAACATCAACATCATCAACAACATCAACATCATCAACAACATCATTA